ACACTTGGAATCAGCACTCAGGTTTTCTAATTGGTGGGGGTGGAAGGCCGGCGGCTACAGCTTGACGTCCCTTTCCTTCACTATTGAGTACCTTACTTATCAAGCAATAGCTAACTGAAAAGTTTTGACATCTGACCTCTTTAATAATCCTGCTATACGAATAACCAATTTTAGAAAAGGTTTTTATTATAGTCTCCACTTCAAGGGACCCTGGGGGGGCATTTTTCAAACTAGCTAACGAAACTTGCCACACGTGTCGTCGAAAATATTACCATGCATTACCCAAAATTTGGTTTCAAAATCTTGTACTGCCGCCAATATATTAAGCGGCAAACTCCTTCTCAACATTGCGATACACCTTTAGTTTGTAAGTTTTAAGTAGCCAGTGCATAGTATGTGTGTCTTTCAATACAAATAAAATTTAAAATACTCACAACTCGATAATTCCATACTACAAGGTTTTTTTCGTCAAACAAAAATAATTTAGCCTGCAAGTATGTCCACAATAAATGGAACAGCGATTACGCGGAAAGAAAAAGTACCTAATGTACCGTTTCGAGGACAACATTATCGTATATATTGATGACACACTTACGTTTTTCTTATCAATTAAAGTTAATTTGCACTTCCAGGAAGAATTCCACCAAGAATTTTCATACCATTTAAGTTGGCATCGAAAACCAAAAATACATGGATTAGGCGAAGAAAGCCGTACTTGGTGACTGGGGAAACCACCAGGTTCTTCACAAAAGGACTGGAGTTGAGAAGAAAGCAATTTCTTCGCAGATCGGTCTAAAATACGCAGCCCTGTGTAGGATTAGAAATAATGTAATCCCTTTTGACCCTATCTTACTACAGATTTTGGACACTCCTATGTCCGTTGCTTCCTCGTTTGACCAAGTAGGATTTTACTCGCCTAATCCCCACGGTTTTTGAAGCTAACTTCAGCAGTAAGAAGATTTTCGTTAAGCCTCCTGGAAGTCGAATTTACTTTAATTAATAAGAAAAACGTAAGAGTGTCGTCTATATATACGGTACTGTGATCCTCGAAATGGTATATCAGGCACTTTCTCCTTCCGCGTAACCGCTGTTCCATTTTTTGAGACATACTTTTATGCTAAATTGAGGAATACTATCTGGTCTTTCGACCTCAGTTGCTATTTCAACCAATACCATTGAGGATCCATGGACAGTTAGTGATTGAATCCGCAGCCAGTCACTCATTGCTAATAATATTTTTTTCTCAAAAAGTTTTGAGACTTTTTGATCATTGTTGTGGTGGTGAACAGTTCCTTCCCATCCACATTAAAACTATTAAGAGGATGTTAGTGGTGGTTCAAATAATCCGACATATCTTTATTTGGAGATTTTCGAATCAGCTTTCTACCCAGCATCGCATCACCCCTATTACTTGTAAAGTGAACTTTCCCCTAGTACAAATTGGAGGATTCGGACTTTCAGCAAGGTCCATTCATACACAATTTCTCACGTGGAAATTTATAAAAGCCTCGGGTGTGGCCAAGCGTTGTCAAGACTATGGTGGAGCATGAACCCTCTATTCTTGGCAGCTGCCACACCCGCCCGGCCTGACGCCGGGCAAGTCATTTATGCTTCTCCTTACTTTATATTAATTTACTGCGAGTTAACTAAGGATTGTTTTTACATTTGAGAGATCTCGGATAATCTCGGCGCAGCATGACGGGGCTAAACTATAAAATATATCATCTTCGTATTGGTCTGCGACAACACCGACTGGTCTGCGTTCTATGCCATCAACCTCATCACAGGACATGCAATCCACTAATAAAGATGCTCCCACCTCTATTTAAAACCTCCAACGTCGTTCCGGATTGGAAATGTCCACATTGCTGTGATATAAACGTTATGGAACATAAACTACTTTCACCATCGTTTTATACTGAAGAGGCAGAAGAGCAACAACAAGGGGATCAATTATTTGCGATCCGATTCCATCTCCTACATTTGTTAAAGGTCATAAGTTCGGTCACTTAATCATTAATACTATTTCTGGTAAAATAGACGAGTTTCGTAATTTTTTAACGTGTAACAAATTTTGTTTTTGCGGAGTGACGGAGACCAAGCTAAATCCGGATATACCCTCTACGGAATTTAATATAGACGGATACAAATTTTTAAGATTTGATAGTCATGCAAGGAGGAGGCTCAGGCCTACATATATATTGAAAACACTATTTCATTTCTTCCTATTCAATACGACGTGGGATTTCCTCCGGAAGTAGAAGTCAACATCGTTCGACTCTTCTTCAAGTTTAACAAGCCGACAATTGTAATATTAATTTATAATCCACCACATGTAAATATGTTAGATATTGTGAGTCGTGACAAGACGGAATATGTATTGTCGGGTGATTTAAACATAGATTTATTAGGCGACTCAGTTCCAAAATCCAGACTTTTAAATGATTCAAATAGTTTAGGTATTGTACAGTTGATTAAGGATCCTACAAGAGTTACTTTAAACTCGGCAACATTGTTAGATCCTGTTTTTGTGTCATTTCCATGCAAAGTTCAATAATCAGGTGTTTTCTCAATCACAACTTCAAACCACCAGTTTACTTATTTTGTTAAAGGGAGTACTAAAATCAAACAGCCACCTGTAATTATAGAACTTCGTTCAATGAAAAACTTTAATGCTTTAGAAATAGGAAATCGTCTTATCGAAACGGATTGTAGCAATGTTAATGAAATAACAGATGTAAATTTACAATCTATAGAGAACTCAATTTTAAAAGTAGTGAATGAAAGTTGTCCATTATATAAAAAACTGTAATGGGTAACGCATGGATGGACAGCGAGATATTAGAAATAATTAAAAAACGAAACAGAGCGAAAAAGATTTTGTTAAAAATTCTTCTCTTTCCTCCAAAATTGAGTACAAGCCAAGAAATTATGTAAAAAATCGTGTATCCTTGAAAAAAAGACATTGTTTTAAATCACAATTTGCAAAAGTTGATTCACAGTCTATCTGGATAACCTTTGACAAATTGGCTGGTAAAAATATAAATCAGTGTAATGAAATTACTTGCCTGAAGTCAAATGGTACTTTGATCACAGAGAAGGAGAAAATAGCATCCTTATTATGTGATAGTTTTATTTTAAATGACGAATCAACTCCGGTTGAGAAAAATGAATTTCTTAGTAATTTAGAAAGTCAATCTGAAACAGAGAGTGGTAGTATAATTTTAACACCTCGTGATATTGGAAAGGTTATTTCGAAATTAAAACTGAAACACTCAAATCAAGACAAAATACCCATAAAAATGTTAACACCCTTACTACCTTTACCCACCTTGATCCCTATGTCTTAATTTTTTACAACAATTTTTAAAACATGTTCATACCCTACAAAGGCAAAGGGGCACTCATTGATCCCAACAATTATAGGCCGATTTCTTCCTTACATTCAATTAGCAAATTATTTGAATATGTTATGAAATATAAAATAATGGCAGACATTGAAAAGGGGGAGATTTTAGATAACAATCAGCACGGTTTTAGGAAATGAAGATCATGCACTATTGCTTTACATCTCAAAACGCACATTCGGCAAACTGGCAAAGCTCTGTATAAACATTTTAGTTGGAAACAATGATCGGACAAGATTAACTATTGAGGCAATTAATTTGCCAACTCCTTGATAACGTGTAAAGTCCGGCTAAGTTTTATAAAAAAAACCTATCGGTACAGCTTTGCGGAGCCCGACCCAGGGATTATCATATAACGGTTGACAATATGTGTGACCTGACTTCATATTGCTAGTTTGTATACGGCCTTGAACCGTCATGCCGAATTTCAGTTCGATTGAACGATATTGAAAAATCGGTATGGGTCATCCCATTGGGGCCCCAATGTAAATATTTCCCCAATTTCAATTCAAATTTGTTCATTAGGAGCGATTAGCATGGTATTTACCAAAATTCGCCTGGATCTGATGACTGAAAAATCGTGTTACCCCATAGGGTCTCCCAAAATGAAATTTTTTCCAGCTTAAAGTGAGATTCTCCCAGCCGTCGTTATTAGCGACCTTCATAGACATTTTCAGCCCAATTGGAAGATTTTCAATAATCGGTATGGGTCACACACTAGGGTCCTTCCTGATGATTTTTTTTCAATTTCACTTGATATTCTTCCATTATAAGCCATTAGCTACCTCCGTACCAAATTTCGCCTAGATCCAAGTGTCTATGGAAATCGGTATGTGTCAACCCATAGGGTCCCCCATGATGAAAAAATTTCGAATTTCATATTCTTTCATCATGAGCCATTGGCTACCTCTGTACCAAATTTCAGCTTTCTACGACGATTTCCAATTTTCGGTTCCCCGGACCCATACTACGAAAATGACCCCCACCGGTCAACCACCGGACCGATTTGGCTCATCTTCGAGCTCGAACTGTGTATTTGGATAACATAAACGTGTGCAAAATTTCAAGTCGATCAGATAAGTTTAAAAAGAGTTATCGTTAGACAGACAGACGGACAGATAGACAGACAGACATGACGGGTACATAAGCCCTGGGTCGGCCTAAAAATTACAAACGTTACAAAATCAACACATGCCTGTGACTTGTGTAAGCTTACATAATAATCTTTATAAACTAATTTTCCTTAGTAATTTTTGTAAAATTTTGTAAACAGCGTAAGTTTACCGATTTTACGGTGTTTGCAAGGTTACCAAGGGGTTATAATTTCAACGAAATTCAAATTTGTTACCATAAAGCAAGGCAATTAATGCGATTAGGAAAGAAAATTGAATTTCGTGGAAATTATTATTCCCGATTGTTATACAAGTTTTTACTGACGTGATAGAGTCATATAGTCATTTCAAATATGTAGTAATGATTGTTACAACGTTTTTTTGAGTTTTTTTTGAGTCACAATTTCGCAAACAGTGCATGCCATAAATTATCTTGGCATTAGCACAACGGCATGTACATATTTATGTCTCTTATTTTTAGACGCTTCCAAATTCCTCTATGCCAGACGAGACGATGACCAAGGCTGGAGAGAAATTTACGACTCAAGGAATCCAGAACATAACGCGTTTCCCACGAAGGAAGAGTACTCTGCGATTAAACAAGAGGTTTATGTACATGGAAAGGCCACCTTGTATCGGCTTGCATTGCAAAACCTGGCGCCACCCGGAAATAAGAAGGGAGACTGCAAAACTTTGCAAAAACGAGATGCAGATACACAAACTGAAAATACTGTCACCAATGAAGTCAACCTTCCCGTGCTAGTTAATGATAACGCGGGATCCAGCAGCCACAGCATTACGCATCAAGTTATTAGTGCATTGTCCCCAGAGGATTTCAGCCAGCTTTACTTTATTGAAATTGCTACTGAAAAACTGGAAAGTTGGAAGGGAAGACTGACCGGGATCGAACCTGCCTTGTTGGGAAAGGATTTTAATACTTTCATCTTGTTGGTAATTAATTAAAAACCTATCAGTACAGCTTTGTCCAGTCCGACCCATGGATTATGATATAACGGTTGACAATATATGTTAACTGACTTCATATTTCTAGTTTGTGTTCTATTTGGAACCATCATGCCGAATTTCAGTTCAATTGAACGATTTTGAAATATCGGTATGGGTCACCCCATACGGCCCCCAAGTTTAATATTTCTCCAATTTCAATTCAAATTTATTCATTAGAAGCCATTAGCATGGTATTTACCAAATCTCGTCTAAATCCGATGGCTATGAAAACTCGGTATGGGTCACCCCATAGGGTTTCTCAAAATGAAAATTTTTACAATTTAAAATGATACTCACGGATGAGTCGTCATTATCAACCTCCGTGCAAAATTTCAGCCCAATTGGAAAATTTTCAAAAATCGATATGGGACACCCATTAGGGTCCCTCCTGATGAAATTTTTCAAATTTCACTTCATATTCTTTCATCAGAAACCATTAGCTAGTTCCGTTCTGCTGTACCAAACTGCAGATTTCTACGACCATTTCTAATTTTCTGTTCCCTGGACCCATACTACTAAAATGACCCCCACCGGTCAACCACTAGACCGATTTGGCTCATCTTCGAAATCGACCGGTGCATTTGTATAATATAAATGTGTGCCAAATTTCAAGTCAATCGGACAAGTTTAAAAAGAGTTATCGTTCGACCGATAGGCAGACATGACGGGTACATAAGCCCTGGGTCGGGCTACAAAATAGCGACATTAAGGATATATGTACATTTGTATGTACTTATAATCTTGTCCTCACATCAGAGAGGAGGAGGAAGGTTAAATATTGAATTTTTTTTGCAAACTTTTCATCATGTCCATTTTCAATGTCATGCTTTTTTCAAAATTTTCATCGACAAACAATTTTTCTCCTGTTTAAATTTCTAGAATACGAAAATTGCAAAAAAAAACTTCATGGGATTTTAAATTTCGGAATTTCTGCCAAATTGCTAATTTTGAAAATTACAAACAATTTAAATATTTCTTTTACCAGACTGTTGAAGATTGTTTGCAAACACCAGGCAAAACTGAAATCCGTTACCATGCCTTTGCTCCAAATACGTGGAAGGAAGCAGTCAATCAATACGCGGAAAATGGGCCAATATCTTGTGGGACAAAATCACTTTTGAGAAAGTTATTTACACAAATCGAACTTGAAACGCGTACACCTGGTCGGAGACAAAAAGCCAAAAACTTAGACAAGGAAAAGAATAAGCCTGCTAAATTGGATGTGACACTTGACAATGGCAGACAAACACAGCTCCTTGGTTAGTAATTTAATTTTACTAAAATTTGTCTCGTCATTTAAAATTTGATTTTTCTTCTGAACTTAAACTAATATTTTAATAAATTGTCACCGCTTGGAGTTTATTAGAAGCTCAACCAGTTGGTTTAAGAATCTGTGGTATCAATTTTTAACGGGATTGTAGCACATATGAATTCCAATTTCGTGTAATTTATTCTGACCACTTTTCCAAGATTTTAACCAAGCTGGGTAGGGCTACATACATACATGTATAATGACTCCACACGGTCACAATTTAATAAAATATTATTTTGAGTGTGTTATACTTTATTCAGATGCACTCTGGTACCATGTTAATAACACAGACGCGCCGTCTTGTACTAAACCAAAACATCATGGACCTTGGAAAATTTCGCTGCAGGAAACTTTTAGAATTGACATACTTCATTACGGAACTAGAGAAATTAGAGCCAAGAATAAGAAGAAAATAAAACAGGGATTTTTAAATGGTAATTGACTAAATAACTAATCCGTAAGCAGGACAATAGTGTATCATTACATGTATCTGTGTGTATGTTGTATGTAGCAAAAATAAAATATATTTGGGTTTTGTAAACAAATAAATCTTATTACTATATTTTCAAATATTTAAGTAAATATGTAAGGCTTTAAATTAAGCTAGATATATATGTACTATATTCTACTTTCAAATTTAGCATATATTAAAATAGTACAAGTTTATTTACAACTTAATAACATAATAATTTTGTGCAAATTTCTTCTCAGGCTTAAAGAAATAGGATTTTCTCACTTTTTTTATTTATCTTTGCAAATTAAGTATATAAACTTCTCTCCCAGTTTACAATAGTTAACAGTCAAAGTTTCACAGTTTACGGATGAATTACACAGTATTAAGTAAAAACAAGTTGTTTTTTAAAAATAAAATTCCCAGTTTTCTGAAATTTTATGCTGTTTTGTAAAGAAAGCAAAGTAAATGTAACGTACATCATTCAAACAATTCAAATTTAGGTAATTTTAAGGAAACATCTCTCTCTTGCAGTTTTGGTCAATTTTTGGACCAGTTGTATTGGTTTTTGGTGCCGTTTTTTTGGAAAATTAGTAGTTTTCTTTCTAACATTGCCCTCCCCATCCATCCTCTACAACTCAGTACATACATACATACTTAGGAAAGGTTCATTCGTCTTTATCATTGGCAGCGGTCATCAGGATTTGTATCCGCGTCTCTCTCAGTCCATGCAAATCACAACCTTATCTCAAGTAAAGTCTTTTCGTCTCATGCGTACATACATGCATGCATAATTTGGTGCATTACTCATGGTCGCATTTTGGGTACAGTTTATACAAATTAAGTGATAAACTGTTTTCCCTTTTTCCTTGTTTCCCAACTAATTTACAAACCCTCGCAATAAAATTAAGCCGATTCCTATTCAAATCAGACTTATCATACACAAGTCGGACCAAAAATACTTTTTGCGCATTGCTTCTACGGACAGTCAATTAAGTATCAAGAGCACTCCCATGTAACTTTCGATAAGACTTTTGCGGCAACGTGGGTAATTACTGATTCCAGGCCAATAGTATATGGTTCATCCTTTGACTGGTTTCAAAGGGGACGATAGGCGACTGATGCGTTCACAATAAGTGACATTTAGACTTTAACAAATTTTCTCTCCCAACAATCTCCTATTACTAACAAATCCTACCCAAGCATAAGCCTAATCACAAAAAAGGCAAACTTGTACAATTGTCATAATGAACAACGAAATTCCACAAGTTCATAGTGCACCCAATGCAGATGCAGACAAGGTAGTAGGTCCACCAGGAAACAATGTAAATCCGCCTCGCAAAAATGGTAATCAGGGTCCCCACCAATCAATGGGCCACAACAACTATAACTTCAAATTTTATACAAACAAACCGACTAATCCTCCAAAGTTAGTAAAGGATTTTAGGAAGTTCAATGGCAAGACAAATTCTGAAGAGTTTATTGCTAGGCTAACTCCCGTAGAAATTCCAAGTTGGCAATCATAGAATGAAAATGACAGGGTTCTGGAATCCTCAAGTTTCGAAGTGCATCAAAACCCCCAAAAAAAGTCTAATCCCGTTTTATATTACGTTTGTCGAAATTTTGTTTTTGGTGACCTCACCGTCTGCCATAATGCCAAAAAGGGAATTAAGTATCTTCTTAAGAAAAGGTGCATTTGTCGCCAATACAGAACCACTCTTCGTACATACCTCAATCCAGAGAAATTAAAAATTTATGCTATTTTTGCAAACAATGATACTCCTAAGGACGTATGACACCACATATCGAGTGACGATTCCAGTCCCATTGGGGTCAAAACTGATAGGGACTGATGAAAGAGTGGGCAAAGGTGATATTGGGAGAGCATCACAAATGCTGCAAAAAAATCGGGTAAAATTATTGATACAAATCAAAGAAGATAGTTCTACGAGGCTAAGGGATTAGACCTATCTGTGATATTGAAATAAGATTTTTAATGTAACGTCCTACGAAATAACTGGTCAAATACTTCCTGGACACGAGATATATAACATTAAGGGTTAAGAAGGTTGCATAAAATAGTTTAGGATGAAAAACATCATATTTTTCATATTCCATGCTCGAAAATCATTTATTTAACAACTAAAATGTTCAGCACAGGTCGCCGTACTAATTCAGAAACAACGTAAGTGCAGTGGATAATTAATTCAGGAACAACGTAAATTCACCAGAATAACATGTAAAATAGCAGAACTTACGTTGTTTCTGAATTTAATGTCGACTGCACTTACGGTGTTTTTGAATTCACTGTTGGCTGCACTTACGTTGTTTCTGAATTAGTACGACGATATGTAACTTGGCCAAAGAAACTTTTCACTTTACATTAGTCAACTTAGTTTACATTTGTAAAGTTTTTTGCAGCGGGTTTCTTCCAATAAAATAGCGTCCAATAGGATATTTGTATATATTAACTGGGTATTATATGTACGTTTGTTAGTACGAATGTAAGTATTTGTGCCTTTATTTAAAGACGCTGTCATATATTCAAAATGCATATTAACCAATTTAACAATACCTTCCAATCCCAGTAATCCAACTTAGGACTTCATGAATTTGATCAATACTGTCAAATAATAATTTTCTTTGCAAACAAATTGATTGTAATATTTTTCATTGTGATGTATTCTTATTTGGAAATACTATTCAACCAAAATTTGGCATGTATGTACGTATGCATGTTTGGTAGCTTCTTAAATAGATGAATATTAAATTAGCAGTATATATAATTTAAACCCAACAAAGACACGTCATACAAGTTAGGATTACAAATGAAGTAAGCATTGTTAAATAATGTTCACATCGTCGTACTAATTCAGAAAAGAGTTAAGTGCCGTCGATGCTTAACTCAGAAAAGAGTTATGTTCCATAAAAATATCATTGAAGTTAACTCTTTTCTGAGTTAAGCATCGACGGCACTTAGCTCTTTTCTGAATTAGTACGACGATATTCTTGTTAAAATTTTCAGCATAAACTTATCACCAGTCTGCGAAGAAGTAAGTCTATAAACGATCGTTACGAAATGTGGAAGTCATTAATACTGTTTCAAATTTTAAACTCCCGCGCAGAATTAGATTATAGTTCACATATCCAAACATCTGAAAAAGGATTGTTTAAAAATTTAGATAAGTGTGACGTCCAAATTCTACATTAAGGAGTGTGGTCTTCTGAAATTTTGCGAGATCGAATTATCCACCATAATTTAACACAAATAGTTGCCTTCATTCTAATTGGGATACAATTTAATAAGAGTAAAACACATATCATCTTCCCCCATGACGTCAGAAGAGCGCGCTTTGCCAAATACAAACTTAATATTTTCAGCCGAAATAACTTTATACTTGACCAGTTGTTCTCTGTCTGGATTTTACTCACAACTGGAAAGGCAAACTTGTTTCTTCTGTATGGATAACATCCATACGAGAATTTAATATTCTTATCGTAAACGATGATATAGATGCTATTCAAACAATGTAATTTTTTTTAATATACTCTAGAAATTCTGGCCGGTTTCAAATTTCGCGCTACTACTTCAAAGCCAAGACCAAAATGAGATACTGTGTTCCTTAGCGGTATTAAATTTAGTCTGTCGAAAAATTAAAGGTAACATTAGAAAATTTTCGAACTTTTTTATTATTTTTTATTATCACTCTTCGAACACTGCCTAAAATCTGTGAACGTTGGAACTTGAGAAGACAAGATTATACATTGAAACAAATATCTGGGCAAAATTGAACTTAGTGGGAAGTTCGAATCTCGCTATAAATCTATTTGATCGTAAAACCAATAATTCAATCCACCAGCACATGACAGTTGCCATATTTACCAAAAGTAACTCCAACTTGACCTATTGCCCGACATGTGTGGATCCTACACCCTCTCAGGCTTCTTGGATGGTATTACAACCGTTTTCCACCAGCAGAGGGCGCGAAGTTCGAGTTACTTCGGACCTCCCAGGATATGAATTTCTAACCTGTTACGCCCAGAAATGGGTCACGTTTGCATTTTATGTCGCCCCCTTCCTAGTTATCGTATGGATATCTGTTCTACTAAGCATTCTCCTTACCACAGTGGGAATCATGTTATACAAAGAATATTGGTTTGAGCATAAATCATCCTTCTCGCCATGCTTCTTAGTGCTCGGTTCCCTCTTTGATGAACCGGCGCGGATTCCTAAGTCATTGGAGAGCAGTTTATTTGTAAAACTGATACTTGGCTCCTGGCCCCTTGCCGCTATCCTTTTGACAAAATGTTACAACGTTTTAATGATTTCCGATTTGAACGACCCGCTAAGGATAAGTGGAACTAGCCCTGGAATGTTTATTGATCTGGTTTGCAGCAAAAAATATTGGTATAAATCAGAGCTAATAGGCGATCACCCTTTGTATAAGATTAGCCTTTCCAACATCGAGGACAGTATGGAGAATCTTGATCATCCAGTTGGGAATCTAAGGAAGTACGACGCAGATAAATGTTTTCGTCTCTTCTCCACCCCAAATTCAATTTGGTACGCCATACTACGTCTTCAATAGCTATTTACTCGATTCGTTCTTTACCGCAATGTTTCAAATTATGGAGAATATGTCGTTAAAAACATATGTTAAGTTTGACCTATTCAGCCCGTTGCATATAAATCGTCCAACATCTGTTTCGCGAAGGAAACCAGTATAGTGTCAATGCTGCGGAATCAATGATAGAGTCAGAAATCGTCAAGTGTGACAAGATCGTTTACATTGCCAAATCTCCCAGGCTGCTGGCAGAGTATGACTATTACGTGAAAAGGTATTACTGGTTAAAATTCCAGAAAGGAAGTGAAATATTTGTCCCAGAACCAATAGGGTAGATATTTGATAACGCGGGTAAGTCAAGAGTCCCGCCGAGTTATCAAAGTTTGATAGAGGGTGGGATTTATCAAAGATTGGAAGAGGAAATCTTAGCTAGAAAATTAATGTTTAGAGAAACACGAAATGTAATAGATACCAAAAAAAAGTTACACGAGGTAGTAACATCAGTACAGTATTTGTTTTGTACGCGGTTATAGTTTGTTTTTCATTAATAGAATTCTTTATCGTGGCGCGAAGTAGGCTTCTTCTTAATTATTTCGATTTTACGAAAAGTGGAACTTTATTAATTCAGGGCGAATATCTATATTAATAAATTAGTAAATATATTGTAAAGATTGGTAAATATACTCATATATAGCAACAGGAGCATATGCTACGGAAACTGCGGCGCGTTCGATGACATTAAACATAAATAGTAGGAGTGGGCGGGGATTGGTAACATTTTAAATCAATACGACTCTACCGCCGTAGTAATAGAGTTTGTCACCGCTGGTTATAAATTTTTAACCGATTGGTTATAAATGCATATTACCACGATGTGAGACAAGCATCGACTGAATCGTTTTTGACATATTAATAAAACTAAATCAAATCAAATCAAGTCAGTTAAGTTATCATAGTGAACAGTCTGGTTATAATAGTTGTCACGCAGTGGTATATTTATCACCATTCCGGTGGTGTCATATTAGTCTACAAATCAGAACAATGTTTCTGTGAGTGCACAGGGTTTATGATAAAGATTGGACTATTTTTCTTAATTTATAACAACTGATAAGTTTCATCCATGGAAGTATATTGTATAATGGAAGGTGGACAATATACTTATTAGACGAATTAACTTATTAGACGTAAACACAAAGCATTTATGAGGAAAGACCCCACATGGAAGTCTATATAGACTTCCAAGTGGGGTCTTTTATTTGGGAAGAGATATCTCTTCCCAAATAAAGGAGCAAATTCGTAGTGAAAAGAGAACGTAAAATTTTTTAGCAAAATTTCCAAAAATATCAACAATATTGGAGACTCAGACTGGTATAAATGGATAAAGAAAATACTAGGAAATCAGCCTCCATCTCTCTTCCAAATTGTCAACACCGTTGATGAACTCGCTGACCTCCACGATAACAAAAAGCAAATCCTAGACAAAATAAACGACCATTTTGCATCAATCACTGCCTCCAAAACTCCACTCGAACCAATAAACCAAATCAAATCAATATATGAGAAAGTGGTATCACTATGTGAGCTACATCAACGCCGCCATTGCCAAGTACGGCAAGCAAATCAACTTCAATTAAAATAATACTTCACGTCCAAAACTTGGATTTTGGCTTTCAAATTTTACAATAATAATTTAAATTGTAAATGTTAGACGCCAAAACCCAGATAGGATGGCAAGATTTTTTTAATTCGAGTTGTTCACTACTTCGGCGTGAATGCGCCAGTATATGCTACACATGAGACGAATTTATTTTTAAAGGCATTATGGTTGGTTTCATCTTCATTCACGTCCAAATATTAAGTGAATCATTTCATAATTTACATTACGACAGAAATGACGCTCGTAATGACTCGGATTGGAATCTATGCTTTACATAAATTTTTACTTATGTACGTCACATCCTGGCATAAAAAGATTTATGGACCCCAAACTATAAATTTTCTTCGTGTCGATACTCCTTCCATTGAAGTTTGTTAAACTATTGTTTCATCTCCCATATTTATTTTCATTATTCCAATCCACTAAACAGTGAAAAAAATACATTTCGCCTCTTACGATATTCGCCAAAAGCCCAGTTTTACCGCATAACGACAAACATCCAGTTTAGCTGCAGGGAAGAAGATCCCCATGTGATCTTCTGCCGTTGTCCCCATGTACATATGCAGACCCACAAAAATTTATGTTCTCAAGAGGAAAAAAAAACTTTTTCAGAAATCTCTTAAAGCTTATTTATGTACACTCGTAAAAAATCAATAACCGGTGGTATTGATACGTGACTCTACCGCGTGGTATTGATCAGGTATTAAATTAATACTGCGTGGTAAAAAAGTTAATACCAATTAGTATTAAAATTATTACCATGAGGTATAATTTCAATACCGGTTTTATACCAATATGGTATAACCGTTTAATACCAAGGCGGTAGAGTCACGTATCAATACCGTTAGGTTTTTTTCAATACCACGTTTCTAAGAGTGTATATTACGAAACAATTAACAATAATAAATACAACGTCAACGGCAATTACAAAATTTTCTTCGTAAATTTTTACAGTCGTCACATCCTGTCAGGCTATTGTTCAAAATTTGTATGCTCCGACATTGTTAGAATAGACTACATATAGATATTTAGTCGTTATATACGAGGGGGCAATAATATATTTCAATAATCATATGGAAGGGGGGTCATTTTGCCCTACTTTATTTGACAGCAAGAAAGGTAAACTCTGGCTGATATTTATTACGGGATATGATAGAAACTCTAATCTTTCCATAATTCATTCATAATTTAGTGGACAATAACATATGTAGTTTTAGTTTTAGTCCTGCATGAATTGGAATTTTGATAATTGAATTGGTAGAAAAAGAGAGATACTTTGTATCCCGGATAATGTTAACTTTGATAAATTCTAATGCGAAAACGGGTAAAATTTGGTAATTTTAGTTTAATAATTTATTAATAATAGGAAATTAACTGTAAGATAAAAAAAATCAGCTAACTAGTCCTTTAGCTGATAAGAAATTTATCAATGATAAAGGGTTACATAATACTTATATTTCCTAAAATAAGTTAAGATTAGTAAATAAGCAGATAATTGCTAACACCTTAATAAAGCATTATTCCGATTCCGAAACAACTAAACCTCTTGAAATTTCAATTCTGTATAAGTGAATTTACAATCCAGTAAAAAAAACAAAAAAAAACAAATCATGAAGAAATATATATTTATGAATTAACCAAACCTTACACAAATACATTGACATAACCATTTTACCTACGTCACCCCTATTGTTTCTTGAGCACAATAAGTTTACATACATCCTGCCATCAATTCATCCTGTATGTAAATACGTCCAATTGCTACCATTCCTTCCTTCATTCACTCTTCACCGTTCTCCCGGACATTTCCCAATCAACGAAATGCTACCAGGATACGCTATCGTAGTCATTTTGGTATGGCTCACATATTTGGAGGAAGCAGCATGCAATGGCCTGGTAAAAATGCGGTTCGAAATTCAGTAAGTTGCTTAACAACCAAAATCCACACTTTTATATTAGATTTTTTTATCTTTTTTTTCAAAATCATTCTAGCGATGGGCCAGATACGGACACTTTTACCAAACCTGGTAGACAAACTAAATACAATATTTAATTTTAGAATTAAAACTTATTCACATTTTTACAGATATGGATGTCGAAATTATACTCGGCGTTTGTAAAATGAAGACATCATACGTCGACGGCTCATACAGCCCATCATTGCCGGAAATATTTTTCTACAAGTATCACAAACAGGCTGAGGTGTAATTTTCCTCGTACATACATACATTCATACCTTCTAAAACTACCCTTTCCACAATTATAAATATCTATCGCTATAAAGCGGGCCTCACAAATTTGAAACGTAGATCTAATTATAATAATATTTTCCATATGCTGCAGATAAATTTGTTACCGCCACATTTACATTAGAGTGGTGGCTAACATAAGACGGCCTATAGAACTTACATGCTGTACAATAATCGATTTTGAATTATATACATATTTGACCAAAAATGGACAAATATTAAACGATATTTACTCTAAACTTTGATAAATATGTTTCTTTTTTTTAAACAGCCCGTGGAATTTAACATTTACGAGAATGAAGCCATCAGTGCATCCTGGGTAAGTAATCATAACAATGAACCATTGACAAGGATATTTTGTGTCCACACTTTCCTCAATATCTCATCCAAATCATCTCCCCATAATTTGTTGTCTTTAATCGCTAGAAACTCGGAGAAGTGCCAAGTTTCACATTGCACTTTACCACGGACACACACATTATCAAGGATGTCTACAAACCTGGGGGAAAAGAGAAGCTGAAAAACAAACAGGGCACGCAGACAACACTTCACATTTTCCTCTACGATGACCAGCACAAGACACCCCAGGATGACCCGAAGCTTAAGGCGTACAAGTCAGAAGAGTCAAAAACCTTTACCGCCGAATATTGGATGGAGAGAACGTGAAATTTTGTATAAAAGAGAGACAATCTTTACGTTAATGTTTAGGTGAATAGTTTGAATTCTGCAAAATAAATTTTTTCACAACCTAAAAAATAATCTACGCGTCAGGTGGTAAGGACGGAAAGTCTTTTCTCATAAAGGGGTCAAATTGTTATTAAAAATATTACGCTGCCAATCTCCACAGTGACATGGTGATTGATTAATTGCCCAAAAATAATCAATATCGCACCACCTGATGCCCATATAAATAAGTCAGTCAGCTTCACCCACTCCTAACCAGATTACCCAACTCGGTCCATAACACAAATCGTTGCGATACATTTTCAAATTATCTCCACCCATAGTAAGCGAACATACTTCGAACGTCGATTACGACAAGAAATCGATCACTTTTTAATTAACAAACCATGTCTTGTTTACATAAATGTGTGGACGTTCACTTTAATTTAAGTAAACAAGGCAGGGCGGCATCCATAAGTTTTTGTCATTATGTTAGGAGTCCAAGGCTACAATGATATCGTGCATTTGTAACCCATATTTAAAAGAGTGGTCTAGAAAACCCCGGTTTATAATTGACACAATTTATGGATGCCGCCCACTAGAGAAACCATGATAATGACTGATCCCCTGATTCATTCACGGCCTTTAAAATTTCCCTTCAGCTACTGGGACAATTATGCCATCTGGTGTGGAAATGTGAATCAAGACTTATCTCTTTCAACCTGCGGACGGTGTGGGGATCTCCTTGGAGAAACACGTTTCCAACAATGGGGCGAATATGATAAAGGGGAATCATTGTCGCTAACTACACGGCGGGATCGGTAAGCAATTAAGACAATTCCCATTTTCCCTAAAACAACTCCCTGTACCGTCTTGACTCATAGATTATCGACGTAATCGGCAACTTTCAACCCGCCCATTATGGCTCTTTCCAAGTCGAGCTGTGTCACCAGGAGGAGGAGACCGACTTCTGTTTCCAGCTCCTCAACATTGTCGAAGGGAGTGAAGATATCCGCATGACAACAGAATTTGTGTCCCGTAAGATAATTCACAGAAAGTCGATGTCATATCGAAGGTTTTGCTGCCAGCTGGCGTCAGGTATGTAAAAGCCTACAACGGATCCTCCACAGATCATGTCAACAGTACATTATTCCCATTTGAAACCTAGATGCAACCGGTGTACTCTCTGAGATGGACGTATCGAACCTTTCATCCAGGATGGGAAGGTAAACCATAAGGGGACGTTCATAAGTTGTGGCATCAAAAAATCACGATTTTTCTATAGACCCCATTTGAATTTTATTAATTGACCCCCCTATTGCAATACCATCCGACATCACACCCCCCGCTGACATTGCACGTAATCTATGACCGTCCCCTACCCTGTGGCGCATAACTAAAAATTTGAACTGGATTAATGTCACACTTATAATTTCAGGCTACAACATTTGCTTCAACCCAAATCCGGCCCAAGTTTTCAGAAATTGTGCAGATATCGCGATCCACTAAAAACCTGGAAGAATTCATTGCTTATTTAATTGCAGAAACCCCTTTTAACTTGTAAAGAAATCTAAAATAAATTATTCAGCATTTTCAACCTCTTTGTGATCCATGTATTATTTGCCTCCAGCACGGTACCCTGGCTGCCTCCAGATTCTAACTGTTTTTCACTCTGTGAAATATTAAGTCAAATTTCGTTGGCTTCTCACTTAGCACCTGCATACTAAAAGCCGCGGAGTTTCGCCAGACCCATTTCACTGGCAGTTATCACCTTCGAGCATACTTAGCTTTACCAAAAAACTTAATAGATTCTAAGTTTAGGATATATTGAACTTTGGAAAATTTAAGACAGAATAATATTTACAACTTGGCATATTTAATTGAGGGATACATTCCCTTGAAATATTGCACCGACGAAGTTAGTGCGAGTGTTGAGTATTTAATTGGTATGTAAATTTTTATGTAGACAGATTTATCTGAAATAATGCGCAAATAAAACATCTCATAAATTCATTTTAATTTATTATGAACTTAATACATTTTCCATAAATACACTGCTGCATTTTAATTCTGACATAAATGTATCCATTTATTTTGTCACAGGTCCTCACTGAGGAGGAAGAAGAAACCGCTGTTCGAGCAATCCCTATCACCTTCAGGAAATGGCTCGAGTTTGGTGTCGCACGTCAGGCTGGCCAATTAAAACAGGATGTCACTGAGCACGACCAAACGCAACTGTCCCATTTCAAAAGATGTGCAAAAATGGTTTGTACATGAGACCGGCAAAGTTTCAAGGATTTCTCCGTCTCTACGGAGTTATTATTAATTTTTTGCCCGAGTCAGGGCTTATGGAACCGTCATGTCTGTCTGTCTGTACGTCCGTCCGTCCATCTGTCCGTCCGAGCGATAACTTTAGAACGGATTGACCGATTGATTTGAAATTTTCACCATATGCATAATGGACAAAGTTAGGAATCAAGTTCGAAGATGAGCCAAATCGGTCCACTGGTTCGCCAGTGGTGGCCATATGGGTAGTGGGGCCTTGTGCACCGAAATTTCAAAATGGTCGTAGAGAGCTGAAATTTGGCATAAAGGTTGCTAATGGCTCACAATGAAAGAATATGAAGTGAAATTGGAAAACTTTGAATCTGCAGGTACCCTATAGGGTGACCCATACCAATTTTTCGAAATTCTCCAATTAAGCCGAAATTTAGCATGGTGGTAGAAAATGGCATCTAATCAAATAATACCTGAAATGTGGAAACTTTTCAAAATCCAAGATCACTAGTAAAATAATGCGAATCGGTAATTATCCGTTGATAATTCACTTAAAACTTATGATTGTTGTGATTGTTGTTAATCATAAGTGTTATTTATTTACAAATATGCATTATATAAAATAAATTTGATTAAGAATAATCGGATTGACCAATTGAGTACTATACAAACCCTGACTCGGGATATATGGAGTCTGCACTGTAGGTTTTTCTAATGATTTCGCTTAAAATAAAAATTTATTCAACTTAAAAATATATTTATATTTAGCCCTAAGTTTAATTTTCAAATATCAATAAATAAATAACATTGACCAACAATTTCTAGGGTGGAAGATGAATTGAAGCGAAAAAAAATTATTGTGTAATTTAAAATAATGACAATTTTTCTTAAGAACAACACCCTTGGATTTTGTTCTATATTTTTTGGCTTTATCTTTATATTTAAATTATCTTACTTGATTATTTTCGTCTTAATTGACTTCTCACTCTCCCTTGGTTGAAATAAATCGACATTTCTAAATTTATAAATAACTTTCAACAATTTTACTATGCTAACAACCTGGTAACAAATTTATATCGGGAAAACAGTTAGTATTTTATGCAAATACTTAACATTGTGCTAGGTAAAATATGTGCACTGTTAAATAAGCATTTGGCCATAGGGCATTACATGGCCGGACATTATTCAGATTCGAATTGGGATAATAAAATATTCAGCTTCCGTGCAAACTTGCCCGTCCAGACCTCTCGTACCGTACACTCTTAATAATTTTTGGAACAGATTATCTCCCGCGGAGGTACTATTTCACTCTACCCTGATGGTAACAATTTGCTAACGGAAAATAGTAAATTGTCTCGGTGATATTTCATCAACCTGACGTGTCAACGCTCTGGAAATAAAGATATCACCAACCGAGAGACAATTTACTATTTTCCGTTGACAAATTTTTACTATCACGGTAGAGTGGAATATTGCCTCCGCTGGAGACAATCGTTCCAAAAATTATTGAGAGTATCCCAAATATACTCTGTACCTCAAATGCGCAATTGTGCTCACTAAACCGTCGATGTATGTATGCCTTTAACTGTTTCTGTGTTTACGGTACTATTAACTGTACACTGAAAATAATCCGGTAATAGATGAAGTCATATATAGTCACCGGCCTGGTAATAGACGAACCTATTACCGGATTGTAATAAATCTGTTACCGAGTGGTGACAAAAAGATCCCATGTGATGGCATTTTTTTACCACTTGGTAATGATTTTGTTACCATCTGGTAATAAGTTCGTCTATTACCAGGCCGGTGACTACATATGACTTCATCTATTACCGGATTATTTTCAGTGTACTGGCGGCCTCTTACAAATATGGACCCTGTCACAACTTCCGTTTAACACTATATAATTGTAACAATTTACGATTATCCCATCCATATAGGATACACATGTTCAACCTGTAATCTATTTATTACTAGATCGTATTCATGACTACCCTGCATGACTAAATCCTGGTTTTAATAATAGATGTATAACTGTACAAATGCTTCTCCTAGTTAAGAAATTTAGTTTCCCAATATTTCTTCCACTTCACTCTCACACCTTCTAGTTTCACGACTCAGCACAAAATTCACGAATTTTCTGAAATTACAAAGCTACAGTCAATCGCCTCATAAACTGTAAAAGTTTATCTCACACATACATATTTTAGGCTTGAAATTTTCCTCAGGATTCACTTTATTTCAATGGCGGCCTGCATATTAAAGTATTATTTTTCTAGTAGATTCCTATTTCCTAATTAAAGGGTTGAATTCAATTTTCTTCTTAAAATATTACAGGTGTACTATTGGTATTGGGTTTTCTGTTAGAGGGAACTGCGAAAACTGGTGGATAAAAATATTTGGACAGGATGTTGCGCAGAAGGCAATTCTAGCGAAATATTCGGAATTCAAAATTCAAGAAAATCACACCAATCCCGCCCTGAATTACCTGGAGGTCAATTATCTACGGTCCCAACATCCTGGCCCGTTAATTCATCCAAATGTCGCAGCGATTAACGAATCTCTTCAACATACCACTAGTAAGGCCAACCTAAACCTTTCACGATTTTGATGCATTTACCTTTTGAAGTAATTTTATTTCCAGACGGTTGTTAAGCCTGGTCCATAGTTACGTATTTTTATGCCATGCCCCCTATCCTCCAACACTAAATTCAACATTACAAGATAGGGAGCATGACACGAAAATACGTGACTCTGGATCCAGCTTTACCATTCAAGTAATTTTTGATCGATTAATTGCTT